TTTCCCTTCTCCCCAGGCAAGAGGATCTTAGAGGCGTGGTGCAATAGTTCATTTTAGGAGGGTTCAGGACACTTACGTCTGTAGCTCTGTGGTCTGCCAGTTGCTCCTTGCAAGAGTCTTTTCTGTAGGACTGCCATGGGGCTGAACATGTGTGTGCAGTACTGCCAGTTGTTGCTGGAAACCAAGGTTAGAATAGCCCTGCGTTTGCTCCTTGTTGCCTGCTTAGTCCTGAGCTCGTTAGGATGCCCTCACCAAGTTTTTCCATGGGGTTACAAAAGTGAGAAACATGTTATTTTTGAAAGCAAGGGCTGAAGTTCTCACCTAATTGTGTGGCCTTGGGAGCTGAAGCTTTAAGGAGTGGGGAGAAGAAAAAGAAGCAGACGTTTTGGGGCTTGCAGTGAGGTTGGGAGAGCTGGTGGTGGAGCACACGGTGCAGTTTGGAGTCCACGTGGAGTCCAAGTGAGTGGACTCTGGCTGCCGTGCTGGGTCCAAGGCAAGTGGGTGGGTGGCCTCTCCATGCAGCTGGGGCTGCTGCCCCACAGCTCTGGCTGGCAGCCAGGCACCCCTGTGCATTTGCAGGGTACAAGCTTTCCTGCAGATGGCACTTTTCCCACGGCCCTCTCTAAGTTGTCCTTTGCATCCTCAGGTTTCATGTGAGAGGCCAGCTCTTCCTTTGACTTGGTCCCGGGAGACTCTTGTGGAGCCTGATGTGGTTTTTCATCTTGCAGTTCGCCCTGCTTCTCTCCTGGGGTACTGGGCCGTGTGCTTTTCCCTGCTGGGATAACAGGGCCTTTCATGCGGTTGTCTTGTTTCAGGCCAGCAAAGATGCTGCTGTAGATGACTGACTCGCTCATGCCTTGTGTGTTATGGCTCTTCATGGCCTCTGCAGGACCAGAATGTGCTAATCTGGGTCCCAAACAGGAGAAGAGCATTGGGCTTGGGTCAGGCACCCTTCTGACAAGGAGGGCTCAGCCACACCGGGCCTGGCACCTCATTCAGCAGCAGGCAAAACCCATCTGGAATTTAGAGAAGAAGTATGTGAGCGCTTTCCAGGATCGTGGCCTGCTGCCCTCAGGGATTCCTCTGCAGCAATCCTGCGTCTTGTGCTCACCATCACTATGCCACGCACACCCCGGTGAAGACGCCTTCCCGAGCCTGCCCTTGGCCCAGCCCTGCCTGGACCTGGGTGGGAGCACTCTGCTCTACCGACGCTCCTGCTTCAGACCCAAGCCCTACAGGTTTCCTTTCCGAAGCCCTTCAGACACCAGCTCTGCCACAGGAAGGGTTATGTCTTCCTTGCTGATGGAGCCCTGCCTGCTGCCTGCGCTGCCGGAGGAGCACTCTGGGACTGGGGTCAAAGGCTCTGCCCTTAGCTCAGGTCGGCAGGCTTCCAGCTCTTGTAGACCAGTGCTCAATAACAACTCCTTCCTACAGTCAAGCAGTGCTAAAGTGCCTTTGCTGCAGTCACTGGAGATCAAGAAGGTAAAAAACACCCACAGCTTCCCTGCCACCTCATGGCCCTGCTCCAGGGATGATGGGAACCGCTCCCCCAGCAGTCTGGTCAATGGAGCAGTGAAAAGCAGCGACCTTGTGTTGGAGCAAACCACGGTCCCCTCCCTGACCCTTGTGCCCAGCGGTGCCATCCTCAGGAAGGACCGGTGCTCGCAGGAGGATGCTGAGAGGAGAGCGCACAGCTTAAAAGCAAAGGAGCCAGAGAGCAGCCTCAGAGATGCTGTGCAGCAGCTAGCCGGACAGACTGCTACATGCAACGGCTTTGGACATGAAGTTGAAAGCTCTGGCCTTACGAACGTGGGCAGCCTGTCCAACTGGAACAGCAGGTGGGGGCAGCACATCATAGCACAGCTCACCCCAAAAGAAACCATTGCTCCCCTGAACTTGGAACTGGGTAGCCATCGCCTTAACGGTAACTCAAGCCTTATAGGCACCGATGGTGCCGTCGTCTGCACTAAGTGTATCAGTGTCCATCTCTTGGCCTCACGTGCTGGCTCTCCTGACTGCAAAGCTGACTGCCAGCTTGTGAGCATGCTGAGTCCACACAGCAGGGACCGGGTGGCGAGAGCAGAGCCTCCGCACCTTGCTGCCGTCTCTGAAGTGGCCACTCAGATATCCACCATCCAACTGGAGAAAGAGGAGAAATGGTCCCAGGCTGTTCTCCCAGAAAAACTTGAGTAAGTAGACCCAGGAGGAGGAGGAGGAAGGCTGTGGCAGGATGGGCTGGGCTGGCCATTGCATCTGTGTGTGCTGGGAGAGGATGCACTGTGGGCATGTGGGGGTGGCCATAAGGGTAACCACAGGCTGTGTCCCTGAGCAAAACCCAACTGTGGCATCCTGGTGCCGGCGGAGCCTTCCTGCCACCCCCAGCTTGACTCACGCACTCAGGATGGCTCCAAGCCCTTCCACCTTCTCCTTCAGCCACAGTGTGGAATTGATGTGTGGCATTTCTAGCTCGCTCCCCGTAGTCATGAGGCCCTGCCTGCTGTGGCAGGCTCTGCATGTATGTTGGGTGAAGCCTGCTGTCAAGCCAGGTCCAGCAAGGCTTTCCTGGGCAGAGACGTGGGTTCCTAAAGGAATGTGGAGCTGATGCAGGACAGAAAGGGTGCAAGGACACGGAGCTCCTGCTCTCCTGCTGGGAGAGGGTATCTTTGTCCCTCTCTCCTTCTGGCTGCTCTGGAAAGTGTTCCCTCTCAGGGTGCCCTGGGGCCTCTCCATCTTGCTAGCTTAGAATGAGTGCTTGTACATCAGCACTGGGGAGGGCAGTGCTGTCACTCCCCTGGCCACATTATCTCATGCTGCCTCGTGGGCTTCTGGGTCTTTTGGCCCTGGAAAGCACGCACCATTCCTTCTGATGTGATGTCCTTTGTCTCAGTGTTACTGCTGAGCAGTTACCGCTGGAGCCGAGCCATCCCCAGGACGAAGCGGAGGAAGAACTTCCTGATGGCCTGGATGAGAGCTGCAGTCAGGAGGAGGACGAGGACAGTGAGTGCTGGTTCCCTGGGAAGGGCTGTGCTCCCTGCCTCAAGGTGGGGAGTGTGGGGGCCGTCTCAGAGATGGGGGTGAGCACAGCTGCCCTCCTGTCTTACATTCATGCTGTCATTTCAGGATGACCTAGAGATTGTGCTGAACCCAAAAGTGATTTAGCAGCAAGGAGGAATTGTGTGGGTTCCTCTGGGGAGCGGCCTGGGGTTCACCACTGTCCTGCTCCAAAATGTACCCATCTCCTCTCTCTGCAGGGCTGTCAGCTCCACTCCCTGCCCTGCCTTTTATGCCAGTGGGCAAAACCCAGGATCCAAGGATTTGGGGCAGCTGGGAGGGGTCTGTTCCCTGGAGCATTTGTTTTCTCTCTTCCCTTCCTAACTCTGTGTGCATGCTCTGTCTTCACCATGAAGACAAAACTTGAGTCTGTCCCCTCCTGCAGGTGACTTGGATGCTTCCTCTGTTGCTGGTGTGTCGTCCAGTGGCTCCGTGGCTCTTGTATCCAGGTTAGTAGCTGTAAATAATGCACTGAACTTGGCATCTTTGCCCAAACTTGTCCGTCTTTCTCCTCCCTGGTGACAGAGGAGAGCTGTAGTATGTGGGGGAATGGACTGAAGGTAGCAACAGGCTTCCCAACCAAAATGAGCTTCCTTCCTACCCTTCAGACCAAAGCTACCTCTCTTGCTATAGACAGCAGCCTGCAAAGTGCTGAGGGTGCATCCACCACAGCAAAGCAGGAGTCTTAATTTCACTGCCAGTTGCTGGGTTAGGTTTACTGCATTAAATTGTGCTCTTGCAGTGCTGTTGCCTTTCAGATGAAGCAGAGTGGAGGTGTCCTGGGCCAGAGATTGCAAAAGCTCCTTGGGGGTCTTATGTCTCAGCATTGCATCCTAGAAACAAGTTCCAGAGCCTGGGTTTTTCTTTAGCTTATGGAAGGAGGCTTCTCTGGGCAGGATTGGTCAGCCTGTGGTCATCTGAGCCCTGCCTCCATGACTCCTGGCAGACCTTTGTGGGACCTGTTCTTGCCCATCCAGCAATGAGAGCTGGTGGTTCTTGCAGCTGTGCTGCCCCTTGCACCAGGACTGCCTTGGGCTTTGCTGGCTGCCTGACAACTTGCTGCTTTCCATCATGCCATAGTTTACCTGGGAGGCAAATATATATATAAACACATGGGGAAAACATCTCTTTTTTCCCCCTTCCTGGTCTCCAACCCCCTCGCTATGCTCACTCCCTTCAGCGAGATGAGGGGTGGCATGGGAGATTGGGGTCAGCGTGTTGTGGTTCCTTTTCTTTTGCTGCTCCTTTTTCCTTACTGGACTGCTCTGGCATGGCTTCTTCCACGGGCTGCAGTGGCATGTATTTGAATATATGTTAATTATAAACTCTACTTTTAGCATCATCACAACTTCAATATGTGTGTTATAAATTCTACCCTTCCTTCCAGGTGTTAGGAATTGCCATGGTAAGAAGGTGTATGTACATTCGGTAAAACTCTACCCCTCTTCCCTGCAACCCACCAAAACCTAGAAGGTTACAACAGCTGAATCAGATATGCATTACCATCTCCACCCCTTGTTCCTGTGGACTAGGTTATAGGTTTTGTCATGTAACAAACTCCACCCCTTGCCCTGGCAAAACACAATCCTGAGGGGGTTACAACACTTGGACAATGTGTTCATTGCAAGCTCGCCCCCTCATCGCTGCAGGCTGGGTTACTGGCCTTAGTGCCCGTGGCTTGCACCACATTGCAATGATGCAAATTCCCAATACCAGGATCAAGGCTGCTTCCAGCTTCCCCCTTCCTCCCTGTGCTACTTTTCACCTTTAGCCAACCACCTACTGCTTCCTCTCTCCTAGGAACTGCATTGAGTGCCTGGCCCAGCCCACTGAGGCTCAGGAAAAAGTGCTCAAACCAGCTCTTGTCTGCAGTTTATTCCCTAATGTGCCTCCAACCATCTACTTCAGTACTCGGGATGAGAGAGGTGAGCTGGGATCTGTTGCAGTGCAGGGGGAGAGCAGCCAGCCCATTATTAGCAAGCAGCGGTGACAGCACAGAGACAGGAGCTGCCCGGCAGTGGCTCGGCTTCCCTTCACCCTTCCCATGATGAGACCCAGCACCGCTGTGAGATCCAAAGGGCTGGAATAAAATGCCGGCTGCTCCTGCAACGTGGAGCATGAGTCAGGCTGCCACCAAATGTTCCAGCATCCCTTATCTCCCCCAGCCATGGGGTCTTCTGTTCCATGCTAGTTCTGTGAACGGGGCTACACACCCTCCTCTGAAGGTCTGGTGCCTGTGCAGCAAACCATAAGAATTTCCCTGGGTGCAGCTGTAGAAAATCAGGGTATTGTGCTTGTTTTCCTTCTGTCCTTACCTTTTTGCCTTCCTAGTGGAAAAGCTGCCTTGGGAGCAGAGGAAGCTGCTGCGATGGAAAATGTGCACAGTCACACCGAACATAGTGAAGCAAACCGTTGGCAGGTCCCATTTCAGAGTCAGCAAAAGTAAGCTGCGGGAGGCTGGCAGCATCCAACTCATCATGTCCTCCCTCGCCTCCAGCCTGTGGACGTGAGAAGGCAGACTGCCTGTGAAGAGCAGACCTGGAGCGATACAGGCTCGGCACTGCAGGATGCTGGGTGTCCATTCTGCTTCTCTGACCCGCAGTGTCCGAGCTCTGTGGGTCCTGGCAGGGCCTGATCTCCCTCTTGGCTTGTCCCTGGCATGAACCACAAGGACTTACTCCTGGGCTGTTGGGAACTGAGGCAGCATATGGGACAGCAGAGCTGTGCTCTGGCTTGTTTGAGCTGTGCCTCTAGATGGTGCTGCCACTCTAAGGAGGCTGGCACTCATCTGGTGCCAACCCCAGCACCACAGTCCCTTGTCCCCATGGGCTAAGGAAGAAGCCATCCTCTCTGACCATAGAGAGTTCTCAGGGTTGGGATCTTGTCGCTGAAGAGATGTGTAGGAGAGGGCTGGGGAAGCAATGAGCGTTTGCAGCTATGATCCATACCCTGGAGTGTGATCTCTCAGCAGTACTTAGGGGGCTCCTGCATGTGTCAGGAGACCTCTGCACAGACCATTTTGGGGCTATAATGGGTCAAGCAGGGCAGAGCAAGACCTAGGAAGTCTTGCAATCCTACATGTCCCTGTGCAGTGGTTAGCCAGCTGCTTCATTCACCTGCTGTAAGGCAGGGAAGTCGGGGTATTGGGGGACTAAAGCCATTCCTTTGACCCTGTGTCTGCCCAGATCCCTGCAAAAATCATGTTTACAAGGATACGACCCACCTGGTTAACTGGATCCCACTTACAGCCCTTGATTTGGCACTTTCGCAGTAGCCAGTATGAGTACTTTTTGCTATTGCTGTGCGGCACCCCTGGCACATTTCTGCTAGCCCCAGGAGATGGGTTGCTGGTGGGTTGAGAGGGTGTTGTGCATGGCAGGGTACTCAGTCATGGACTTTTCTGTTTTTCCTGCAGAAAGCAATGACTGGCTGGGCTGTTGGGGTCACCACATGAAATCACCCAGCTTCAGAGCTATCAGGGAGCACCAGAAGGTAGGGGATGTTTTGGGCTGACCTCCTTCACGTGCATGGAGAGTGTGTTGGGAGCAGTTTGGGTGCCCCTCTCATCAGGGCAAGGTATTTGATCTGCAGGATGACCCTGCAGTGTCCCTTCCAGAGCATGGCAGCTTGCATTCCTGTGCTGGGAGATAAGCCCAAGAGACAGGCACAGTTGGGTGAGCGTGTTCACTTGTGAGCTCATCTAAATTCAGCTATTGTTGCTTAAAGCAGTCCTTCCTCTGGCAGAACTGAGCAGTAGGCCAGTGCCCTCCCAGCTAGGGATGGGCAGGATGTACATAACTCAGATCACAAAAGGGTCAGGAGTGGCTCACGGCTTGGGGAACATGCGAGGGATCAGAAGTTTGATATCTGTCATACATACATGTTTGTTCTGGAGAGCTGTGATGCTCTAAACTGTGCAGTCTTGAGGCAGCATCCAAGGTTGGAAGCTATCAGCCTCCAGCAATGTTCCTGTCCTGCTGCGGGGTCTTTCTGCCCACAGAGCTTGTGTTGCCTGGGCAGGACTCTGGCATACAGTTTAGAAGCAAGTGGGGAACCGCTGGGGTGAAGGATACTGCCAGAGGAAGCTCAAAGGCTGAGGGTTAGTGCCCTGCGGCTGCTCAGACATCAGCAGGGATGAGGTCGCAGCTGCTGGCTTTGTAGCCGGTGTGGGTCACCGTGCAGGTGTTTGTCCCTGCGAAGCTTCAGGAGCAGGTGGGTCCTGTCTTGGTGCAATCCTGGGAGGGGAGCAAAGGGCATTACCCAGCACTGTGTTCACAAAATCCTCTGGCCAGGGAACAGCATGGGGAGGTGGGGAAGCACGGAGATCTAACAGCATCTGGGTTCCTTTCCAGCTAAACCACTTCCCCGGTTCATTTCAAATTGGGAGAAAGGACCGTCTGTGGCGCAACCTGTTGAAGATGCAGGCTCGCTGTGGGAAAAAGGAGTTTAACTTTTTCCCCCAGTCCTTCATCCTGCCCCAGGACATCAAATTACTCAGGAAAGCATGGGAGGAAGGAGCTAGCCGCCAGAAATGGATTGTGAAACCAGTAAGCGCAAACAGAGCTCAATCCTCTGTCCCATTGTAGTTGCAGGGGGACGATCTGATCCCTTCTTGTTTGTGTTTTGCAGCCAGCATCAGCAAGAGGCATTGGAATCCAGGTCATCCACAAATGGAGCCAGCTCCCCAAAAGGAGACCACTGCTGGTACAGAGGTGAGTGAAGGAAAGCAAGGTTGACACACAGCCTGGAACCTCCTGGTGTCTAGTCTCTCTGGCCTGGTCTGGGCCGATGTCACTGTGTAGCAGAGCAGAAGCACCTGATTTGCATCCAGAAACTTCTGAACTGCCTGTCTGTAATGCTGCTGCTGGAAGTCTGGCTCTGTCGGCTGCAGCTAGGCTTACCAGACTGCTGCTGTCGCTGTGTAGATTTTTGAGGTCTTGGGTACAAACTGGCTCCATGGGCTTTCTGGAGCTTCTATCTGTGACAGGTGATCCAGCTTCAGCTCTGTTGTGATCCTCCTCTTTGTACTGTGGTGTTTGGCATCTTTGGAGGCAAACAAACCTTATGGAGTGCCCACAAGAACAGTGGGAAGACAAGTCCCAGGGAAGAGGTGGCAACTGTCAAAGATTTGTTCTTATACAAGTTAGAATGGGGCAGTAAGAGTCTCTGTGTGTGTGAATGGTGGTCAAAGGGTTTTCTTGAAATAACAGGATTTTCAGAATCTCCTTCCCCTTTTGCAGAAAAATGGAATAGCTCATCTTGGTTTGAGGCTGCTTTCTGGGAAGATTCTTGTGAGGGCAGGAAAACGGTCAAGTGTTTGGCAGACAGGGAACTGCTGTGTTGGCCTGTCTGTTCTCCCTGTCTGCTTCCCTGCAAAGGATAAGCTTTGCTATGAAAAATCATGAACTTCTGGGGTGAATGATCAAATGATTTGGATGAAAATTTCCAGCTGTTTCTGCTCACTGAACCAAACCTTCTGTGGCCCACTGCATGTCTTAGAGATGTTCCTGGAAATTGTGATCAGTCCTGTGGGTGTTAAAAAGCTACTGTGCCTTAGAGCTGGGGAAAATCTCTTCAAAATGGAACTGAGCAGAAGGAAGTACTGCTCATGTGCTGCAGGATCTCCCCGTGCATGGGAGAGTTTTTTTTCTCTCTCATTTTGACTGTGATGCACTTAACTTGGAAACACAGTGCAAAAGGGCTTCTGTGTTGATCCCTGGTTTTGCCAAGCCTTCTGAGGTGGGGACTAGAGATGTTCCCGTGCACAGAAATCATAACCCTCCCCCGGTGCTTGCTTCCCTCTGCAGATACCTGCACAAACCCTACCTCATTGGCGGGAAGAAGTTCGACCTGAGGATCTACGTTTATGTCACTTGCTACGATCCCCTCAGGGTCTACCTGTTCAAGGATGGATTGGTTCGGTTTGCTAGCTGCAAGTAGGTTGTGCCGGAGAGCAGGGCTGGGGGGCTGCCTCAGTGCTGAGGCATATGTGGCTGCGGTACCCACCTCAGCTGGGCAGGAGGCAGTCATTCCATGTACGGTGGTGCTCAAAGCTGTAGCTTGCTTGCTTAAGCAGTGTGGAAACACATGGGGATCACTGCAGGTGACAGGGTTGAAATGGAATGCGAGAGGATGCTTCGTTCATCTGCCTTTCCCAAGGCAAGATCAGCTCAGTATAAAGCAGTTCTTGAAAGATGCCGTCTGTGCTTCACACTGCAGAAGAGCTGGCGTACCAGAAACAGATGTTTTTTCAATTTTGACTATATTGTCTTGGCCTGCTGCAGTTCAGTCAGTGCTTTCGCTCACGGATGCTCTGGCCTTTTCTTAAGGACCTGCTGCGAGGGTGGGATTGCATCCCACTGCCCCAAAGCAGCCTGCTGCTTGCCTCATGCTTTGTTGCATCAGCTCTGGGCCCGTGGGGACAGAGAGCTCCAGACAGCCTGGGAAAGGGAGGCAGCAGGGCTGATGGGTGGCCAACAGTGGTTTGAGATGAGAAGAGAGCTTCTGCCTGCCCCATGGGTCTGGGGACAGCCCATTCAAGCTCAGACTGCTTGTGTTCCTCTCGCCTCCTCCAGGTACTCCTCCTCGATGAAGAGCCTCAGCAACAAGTTCGTGCACTTGACCAACTACAGTGTGAACAAGAAGAACACGGAGTACAAGTCCAACTCGGATGAGACCGCTTGTCAGGGACACAAATGGTAGGTGTGCTGTTTTTAGGGCACAGGGCAGCTCTTTCTATTACCTGTTAAGTCAGCCTTTTTTCAGCATTCCTACCCAAAACTTGAAGGTGCTTTCTGTATCATCTGTTCCTCCTTGGGGAAACTGGAGGAGCAGAGTGATTTTGGCATGGCTAGTGTCGATGGAATCTGGACGGTGTCCCTGGCTTCTGACTCATCCTGTCCACTGCCGCTTGGGCTGTGCCTGCTGTTTATCCTGCCTGTGTCTGTGCTGTTCCCTGCTTCCGACGCTGCTCTCATCTGTGTTCATTCATCCCCTTGCCCTCTTGCGGGGGCGATGGGATGTGGTTAAAGCAGAATCTGATTTTTTGCTGTTAGAACTTGAATGGGTAATTGTGATGCTTGAATTGGCTAGATGGCAGCTTCTGACCATCTCACTCTTGGCTTTCCTGCGGAGGCAGAGAAAGGGACAGTCCTCTCGCAAAACTGATAATTTATGTGCTGCTCGGTGTGAATAGGAGCAGCAGTGCCATTTATAGGCATTTGGAGGAGGGCTGCAGTCTTGCAGGAGTTCCTGTTCCCTGCTGTCCCATGGGTGGACTGATCCAAGGCCGCAGGCACTTGTCTCTGATTCCACAGCAGTGTTTGAACTCTTTTAAAAATAGTGCAGCATAGAGTTCTCAATTCATGGGCCTGGGCAGGACTACTTCACTTCAAAGGGAGCTGCAGAAGGTGGTTTGCTGTGGTAGGATCGCTTTCTCAGACCTGGACCTGCTGCACAGCAGTGTATTCCTCCACTGGGATGTTGAGAAGGGTCTGCTGTCCCCCACCAGTTGAAATCCCGTGCGGGTGGGATTGTGTGGGTTTTTGCTCCTGCCATGCAAGTCAAAGCTGGCTGCTCCCACGTTAAAGATGAGAGTGGCTGTAATCCATTCCATCTTGTATGCAGGAAGCGTGACCTTTGGATTCCTGGCCGTTAGCCACACGGTCTCACTTGAGCAACATCTGAGCATCCTTGGCTTGGTGTCAGGGTAGCTTGCAGTGCTCGGTGTGGTGTGGGAAACTCCTACAAAAGCAGAGACGCTCCCCCCTACCATCCTGTTCTCCATGGTTTTCAAAATTTTTTCTCCACCCCCAAAGCCTCAGTGAAACGGCTCTAGCTAAAACATTTAC